ACATTAAACAACTCACTGAAAACTCAGTTAACTCATGGAACACGACGTTTCTTCACTTTGCCTCAAATATTTTGGCTGTTTACACCAAAACTGCTCGAAAGGTCTGCATTTAATTCTGGCCTATGTCATTTAGAAATGATAATCACTCGATTATTCTTGTCACACAAAATGCTAACTTGAGAAGAGACTTGTACATGGGGGTATTTGTTGTGTTTTTAATCTGTATTAAAGTAAATTCATATTATTTTTGGTTCGGGCATAAGGAGTTTGCAAAGAAAGCGAGTGGGCAGAACAAGCAATAGGTCATTGCATCTCAGCTGTGCCTGCTGCTCGACCATATTAGAAAATATTCCACGTTTCATTTTACATTATTATGAAGTGCGACAGTTTCCGAATGTTATATAGTTTATTTTTTTGGTTTGTTTTTTATTAGTGTGTGCTCCAATATAGGACTGCTTACATTTTTTCATATCTATTTAGCCAGTGCTCAGGCATTTTTTGATGTTTGATGACCTGGGCCAAATTACAGATATGGTAGGGAAGACTAGTGAAAGTTTCCAGCTTTTATTTTTATACATTGTTTTATTTTTGGATATTCATGTACAAGTATTGCCTCCGATTTTGAAGTCCGGAAGAAAAAAAAGTGGATGGACAGAACATAAAAAAAAAAAAAAAGTAACTTGCATGTAGTTAAAGTTTTAAATACATGTAGCTAAAATTACACAGCAATCATTAAATGTCCAAACTTTAGACCGTAACATTTTTAAGCAAATCAGGGATGATCCCACAGAAAATGTTCTAAGGCAGTTGAACGTTAATATCCTGTTGATAGGTCAAGCGTACATGTTAGGGTTGGTTGATATGGCCTAAAACTCATATCTCGATATTCTTTAGCTGGATGGCGATATACGATATATATCTCGATATTTTTTTTAAAGCCATAAAGAAAGAACAAAAAGAGTTCTTAGTCACGCTGTGTCCCAGATCTCACATCTTTATTAACATACAGCGTAGATGTACATGAAAAAATTACTCAGAAATAAATTATCAGCATTTATTAAATAATAATTCTCCATAAATAAAATAAAACAATGTTGTTTTTGTGGATAACAAAACGCTCACAATTGTGCAGTCAAAATGTAAATTAAAAGACGCTTAGCATAATAACAAAGACAGACAGATTTCGCAGCTGCTCTGTTCCCAAGTTCTACTGCGTGACTGACAACCTTGAGTTTGAAATCCGCTTCGTAACCATGTCTCTTACAGGTGCCATTTGTGGTCCTTATATGCACACAATACGGTAATTTTACGTTGAAGCACAGTATGCGTTACTCCGCGAGGCTCCAGACTACGGTAGCCGTAATGTTCCAACAATCCATCAAGCAGTGCGGCTTCGTAGCTTACCTAAGTCGTACTAAAGCATTTTTGGCAGATTGCTGAGCGCCGTGTACCACATAAAAGTGGTTTGCGGTCAATAAGCACAACCAGAATTCATACATAAGGCGCGCTGTCAATTTTTTTATAGGTTATAGTCCGAAAAATACAGTATACGAGTTTTGTAAGGTAGTTTGTTTCGGGGCAGGAGGCTGGGAGACTTCGCGGTCTGGGATACAGCACACAGTTTCTCACACACTCTTCATTTTGCACTTTATGGTGCTGTTGTAAATGGTGAAAATACTAGTAGTGCTAGCTGCACGGCCTCAACACACCCCACGCACGGGGCGATCTGCGGTAACTCGTTAATGGAGATTTGCCGCGTTAATACAGTTATGGCGTTAATGTCATTTTAACGAGAGTAAAACTGCCGCACTAAAATAGTAATCTCCAAATGTTTTCTTTTTACCGACCAGCTCCTCTTTGATAGCTGCCGTGTCCATCTTGTCGTTACCTGCAGGTGAAGCGATGGGGGAGGGGGAGTTGTGTTCAGTGAAGGAGAGAGGCGAGGCAGAGTAACACAGCGTAGAGACAAAAGTGGACGAAAGAGGCAAACTTGCGGTTCCAAAAGTATAATTATAACGTAACATAGACTATATCGATATAAAGGATATTGTCACATCTCTTATCTTGTATAAAAATATATCGCCCAGTCCTAATACATGTGTCATTTTTTTCTGTGTACTGCAGCAACCAACTACAAACACAGTTGAGGAGCCACTTGATCTGATCAGGCTCAGTCTAGATGAGCGAATCTACGTCAAGATGAGGAATGACCGTGAGCTCAGAGGCCGACTTCATGTGAGTCTTGTGCTGGGTTTTGTTGTTGTTGTTGTTGCTGTTTTTTTGTTGTTTGAGTGCTGCAGGTGTGACCCTGGCTGCTCGGAAGACTTTTTAAAAACAAGCACTTCAATTTCTTTTGGAGTGTTTTTGTCCTCTTTTACTTTGCACTCTTATTTGTTCTTGTTTGTCCCAGGCTTACGATCAGCACTTGAACATGATCCTTGGTGATGTGGAGGAGACTGTGACGACAGTGGAGATCGATGAGGAGACTTATGAAGAACTCTACAAGGTGCCACATCATTTTCTTTCCAGTCCCGTTGCCCTTTTGGTTTAAGGTGCTGGTGGTCTATTGTGGCATTGATCTGAGTTGAACCTGTTTCATCTTTTAAAACTGTTAATGTGTCATTCAGATAACAGACAGTACTTAATGGATAATATTTCACTGACTGTTTGTTATATCATGGCCTCAAAAATGCAGCCTGTACGCTGCTCTGTTTTAACAAGGGTTAACATTACTGAGAAAATCACAGGGATCATCTTAACAACAAAAATGTAATTAAAGCAAATGCATGTTTTAATTTTTAAGTAAAATATATTTAGTCTTTGTTGTTAAACACATTTATTGGAAGCTATGTGTATACAATATTTTAAGTGTGAATCTTTGTTTCGTTTCAGTCTACCAAGAGAAACATCCCCATGCTGTTTGTGAGAGGTGACGGCGTTGTCCTTGTAGCTCCACCTCTCAGGGTGGGCTAACTTCGATTACATCCTGGTATGAAGCAGGGTTTGCTCAAGTACAATTTCAGCCCACAGAAGAGATAAAATCTCTTTTTTTGTCAACATCATCCACTCACATGAGACAAATGATTAATTTTTGTTTTGTTGTCAGATGTAAAACATGTCGATGGAAAGAAGAGAGAACTTTTGTAAGTCAGTGTTTAATAGGTGTTATTTTGGCAAGTTGCCATTTTTCAAGCCACATTTTCATTTAACAGGATATTTAGGCTATTTCAGAACATTAGATCAGGTAAAAAGTCCATTTTAAGTTCCAAAGCTAAGAATACTCATTATGTTTAAACATAATCGCATCATTTTAGTTATCTGTGACTGTATGTGCTCTTTGTTTAAAAAGGCTCACCAAACGTAACGCTGAGCGATATGTATGATTCTTAAGTTTTAAATTTTGTCAACTGTAACTTTGGTTTGTTCCGAGCAAAAGTCTGTCAGTTTACTCCAAACAGAAGATCTGTGAATATGTTGGGGTGTTTTTTGGTTTCTATCATAACATTTTAGTTGAATATTTTATATTTTTGTAGTACTGTGGAGGATGTGGGAGTAAATCACACACAGATGTGTCAATGTGTGCAAAGATTTTTCAGTTTGGTCTTGTAAAGTTAAATAAAAAAATAAAAGTAATTGGAAAATTTATTGATTGTCATGTAAATATGCTGAAATTTGTTGGCAGCTGTGACTCAGGAGGTAGAGTGGGTTGTTAACTGGTTGGTGGTTTGAATCAGCCAGCACATCAAACTATTCTTGGGCAAGATACTAAACCCCAAATTGGCCCAGGTTCGTTGGTTAGAGTGGGTGGTAAAAAGTGACTGAAGGTATGTAACTAAGTGCTAAGGGAACGTGTGTGAATGAGTGAATATGGCTTGTAGTTTGAAATGCTTTTAAGTACAGAGTAGAAAAGCTGTTTGCAAGTAAAACTCAATTTAGCAGACTGTATACAATTTTTATACTACAATATGTTGTTGATACAGTCCAGTTTGTTACTGTAGGTGTTATTTGTGTCATTATGCAGTTATATAACATTTTAAATTGCAAATGCACCACTGCATTAGCAACATTCTAATGTAACATCGGAGCAGAACTTTCAGGGTCTATTGCATGCTGCCAGGATTGTTGTATTGTTGCATTGTAACCACTAGATGTCAGTGTACATCTAAAAAAAGAACCTTCAGTTTAACAGGCTAGCAAGGATGAAGGTGATCTCTGCATGAAAACTAAATGGGCTGTTGGGTTTTTTTTTTTTACCACAGACTGACATTTTAGTTGGTTTAAAAAAGTGTAACTGAAATCCTTACATTTGATCACACTCACAACTAGATTACTGTAGTACTTAGGATTACATTAACAAAAACATTAGCAAGTTTAGAACATTTCACTTGTGATACAATGGAAATAATTTGTCTAATCATTTTTTCTACAAATGTCTGGATGCAGAATAAGTCCAGGGCTGTGTTCTCAAAAGCAGGAGCTTATTAAGACTGAGAAAAATCTGGATTTTATGTTCCATTAAAAGAGGTAACATAAAACAGTTACCAGGGTAACAGACTGAGAACCTAACATCCACAAAAACTGTTTCTCCCCTCCTGCTGCACCTGATCCAGCTGACTGACTGAATTTCCCCGTTCATGCAGTCGACATCAAAGAACACACTATATGTGCAAAGAACATAATGTCTTTGCACATATAAAATCCTTTTTAAATATAATCAGATATTTAGATTCAGTCAAGTCTAGCGGCTTTATTGTCATATCAACCATGTGCAGTGCTACAGTACACAGTGAAGTCTGTCATCTGTCAGAGATGACAACCACTAGAATAATTTTCACTTCAGTTCAAAAAGTCTCAATGTACTCTTAACAACATTTTATGGTGTAACTCTGCTGATCCACATGTTGAAATCTAAAATTGTCAAGTTTGAATCTTCAAATCACCATAGTTACGCCCATCTGGATAAGCTGGTGAGCACAATGAGGGTCATGTTGTTTGACTTTTCATTCAGTACCATCAGGCTGACCCTCCTGGGTGATAAGCTGACAGCGATGCAGGTTGATGCCTCTCTCGTGTCTTGGATTGTTGATTACCTGACAGGAAGACCACAATACGTGCGTCTTTAACATTGTGTCTGACAAGGTGATCAGAAATACAGGGGCACCACAAGGGACTGTTCTCTCCCCTTTCCTCTTCACCCTCTATACCACAGACTTCAGCCACTTCACAGAGACCTGCCATCTTCAGAAGTTTTCTGATGTCTCTGCGGTGGTTGGATGCATCAGTGAGGGTAATGAGTACCAGGCTGTGGTTGACTCCTTTGTCACATGGTGTGAGCTGAATCATCTGCAGCTCAATGTGACAAAGACCAAGGAAATGACTTTCGGAGGACTAGGAAACCGCTGACCCTTGTATCAATCCAGGGGGTTGATGTGGACATTGTGGAGGACTATAAATACCCTAAAGTACACACTGACAATAAACTGGACTGTGTGAAAAACACCAGAGTCAGGAAGGGCCAGAGTCATCTCTATTTTCTGAGGTGGCTGACATCTTTTAACATCTGTTGGTAAATGTTCAGGATTTTTTATGATTCTGTGGCCAGCGCCATCCTCTGTGCTGTTGCATGCTGGGGCAGCAGGCTGAGGGTCACAGATGCCAACAAACTCAATAAACTGACCTGCAAGGCCAGTAATGACGTGAGGATGGAGCTGGACTCTCTTAAGGTGGAGTAGACCTCCCATATACTCCCATCATGTGCTGGCCAGTCACAGGAGCACATTCAGTGAGAGACTGAGATTACCCAAATGATTTTCTGAGAGATGACACAGAAAATCTACTCTCTGTACAACTCCCCCATCTAATGCACAGTACACAGTGCAGCAGTTGCACACCGTTAATATTTGCACATTGTCTACAGAGAAATAAAGGTTTAAAAAAAGGGGGCACATCAATTTCAACCATATATTTTTAATTTGGGTTTTATACTAGGATATTTATAATTGAGCTATTTGTAAATATTAACTTTTTTGTTATATTTTGCAACTTTGCAATATTTTCACATTTTATATTATTTAATTTAGTCAGTTACTGTGCTTACTCTCTTGGAGAAACTGTGACCACATAATTTCCTTAGCGATTAATAAAGTATTCTTATTCTGACTCTTTATTTACTTGTTGCCATGATGAATCCTTGAGCTAAAAACCCATTCTTGTTCATCTCTTGGGGGGGTTAATCAAATTAGAATCTGTTGAACCTGCTTTGTGAAAGAGGTCCCAGGTAAGCAGCAATCTGTATGGCAAGTATGCAAACAGAGAAAACTGTTGGTATCATATAACTTGTTTAAAAAAAACCCCGTCATATCTTGTTTTTGAAAACAGCAGAAAAATAGGAAGGATGTTATTGGTGAGTCTCTCCATGAGGCACTGTTGGTTAGTCAGTGGGTTTACCACCTTGGTTCAGGTTAATTGTTGCCTACTGAGAATTACAGAATTATTGTTGGATGCATTTCCATTATTTTTATATAGGCACTGATGGCCCACAGAGGATAAATCCATCTCGTGATGATTTATTTATTGCCACCATCAGCTTAAAAAATCCCATTGTCCATCCCCCTTAGCTGGAGTCCTCTGCTTAGTGCACTTTATACAGCGTAAACAAGCTAGCACAATAAGGTGGTAAACATCATAGTTGCTAAACATCAGCATGTGTGTTTGTGGGGGAAAGTTGGAATGCTGATTTTTTCCATTTGACTTTAAAAGAGCAGCCTCAAGTGCTGCGTTTGTATTTAATTCCCTTTCCCAACCAATGTTCTCCAAAGCCAAGACTGAACTTTCATCATTACTCTTACAATAATCAGCTTTTATCATTCTGTACTGTTCAAGGAATGTGTGGTTTGTTCAGATGGCCTCAGTACAGGACATACTAATGAAAGTACACACGGAAGAACAGTGCAGAATTCTTTATGACTGAGCACAATTCCTGCCTCTTGCAACACTTTATGTTGCAAGAAGCAGGCATATCCAAAACAATCCAATCCAATATCCCTGCACACGTTTACTGGGTTGCAGCAGTACTAATAACATATATAGTGAGAACCAGTTGTTGGGAGGTTTTAACACTACCGACAAGTAAAAACGACTAAAGTTATATTTTAGCTCCCTTTCTTCCTAAACCTATAGATATAGTGAATACTTTACCACTTTATATTACTGAACTGTGGACTCAGACTTTCAGATCACAAACTTTAGAACTCAATAGAGGTGGTCAGGCAGATGGCTGAATGAAAAAAATATTGTATAACAGCTTTAACAAATTGAAGCTGACATTGTTGATATAAGTTACCCATATAACGTAAATCTTTTGCTGAAAATAACATACATTATGTAGTTACGGCCCAAAATGTGTTGTGTGGGTCACAGCAACCCTGACCACTAAAATCTAATCATGTTGAACCCAAATGAATGTTTTTGCCAGATCTGAAGGAAAAACAAGACAAACAAACCATAATGCCTCTGACCATGGCTATCACTGACATGGAAACATAAAAATATTTCCAACCATTACTCAATGCACAGGATGCTGAATTGAAATGAAATCTTCTCTTCATCCACGTATCAGTAATACAGCTGTGAAATATTCATGGTCACTTCAGCCAGACTGCCAAAAACATTAAAAAAAAATCCACAGTAGATTAAGTGGGAATAAGTAGCTGTCTTGCTGGCCTGGCTGCATCATAAACACTGCCCTTTATAAAAACTAGCTCCAAATAAATAATTCGACAATTTAATTTCCAGTGGATACAAGCAGTTTAATGGGGATTTCAGCATCTTGGAACTATGAAACAATAAGTGCAATACCAAAAATAGCCTTTTTTAAAATGCTTCCCCAAGAGCTTCCCATTCTCCCACATTTCTATAATGATAATAATTTATTAATTATAAATTAAATACAATAGTGAAAGTTTTTATACTAAAGGAAAGTCCAGAACTTTCATATTTCCTCAGAAGTTATGAGATAGAAAATGTTGAAAACAGTATTTGTCCATGCATTTTCTTGACTACTTTGAGGTCGGGATCAATTGCTGAACAGCACTTCAGGAGAGAAACTATGTCCAAGCAATGATAACAGATTTAGACAATTTTGAACAACTTAGAGATGTCTGGCCTGCTGTTCAGGTCAAACTGTCGACCTGGAGCACCTTACGGTACATGCTAGTTAGTCCTCATCATCTGTTGAGAGGCACTGGCAGCCTGTCTGGGGCTTTCCTGGACTCTCGTCCTTCACCTTGGTCATCACAGTTTAATGCCACTTTGTTTGTGAGTGATCTTTGTTATGTGGTACTGGTCCATTCTGGCTTTTTGATGTTATTGTAGTGATGTTTTTCTAGAGTTCTTTATTTGAGTTTTTTTTTTTTCTAGCAAAAAGATGTTGCATCATTTTCACTGATTATAAAAACTCTGATCTTGTTTATGTCTCCCTGCCAGCATTCCAATCCGTAAAGGAGAAAAGTTTTGACTCTACTCTTATGGAGTCTGGCATTTGTTTTCAGACAGTATTGCTCTGACTTTCAGATGGACTGGAGTGTTGCAAATGTTCCCTGTCCCCTTTCCTTCCCAAGACTTGCAGTGATGTCTTTTTGACAAGGCTGTCAAGGGGATCACCGTACACTGTCATGGGTGCCTCTGGCTTGGCATTTATGCACAACACTTTGGCTTTAGAGATGCTTAAGTTTAGACCTGTATGCATATCACTAACAGGTCTAATGCTTGAACAGCCACTTTCTTCCATAATAAAATATTTCAGCAACTATCAGACAAATTAGCATTCATTTTTGCACAAATATTATTATGTTTTGAAAGACAAATATTACATTCATAGCATTTTTAAGATCATAGTGTGTTCACTCCCCTCCCCTCCAAATAATCTACTGTTTCAGCTTCATGTGAGCTGAGGTGCACTTTGCCCAATAGGTAACTTACCAGTACTGCTTTAATCAGGTTTAAAGTGTCACTCCCTGTGCTCCACCATGCCTCACACATTTGGAATTGAAATAGAGCATATTTAAAAGGTTCCAGCTCAAACCAGAAATAATAATGGTGACCATAAAACCATTTTCTATGCTCCACTGTAAACTGAAAGGTGGTTATTGCTTGCTCTGCACGTTATTACAGTACATGCCTGTGAACTATCCATGCTTTTATCACCTTTTAGATGTCCTAACTGGGATCTAATGAGCAAAGCCAAGTCTATAAATACGTCTATAAACAAATACAGAAACTTGCTAAACTGTTCAGGACATATTAAATGTGTGATGATTTGTCTTGGCCTGCAATATGATGTAATTGTACAGTTATCACATGTAATAAAGGCACAACTAACGAACTATTTTGGCTTTGAATGTGCCAAAGATTGCTGGATTCAAAGTTAATTGTTAAGTGTTAATTATGGAGTCACAACCTGGTGCAATCTTCTGATCTAATTCCAGGGGAAAAATGTGTTCCTTTCATTACGATCAATATAAAGTATAAAATATATCTTGTATTACAAGATTCATTGCGAAGAGCTGGGGTGAAGACTATGAGAAGTCTAAAACAAAGGCTCAAAACAGTGTGTTGATAGGACTTAAGGAATGGCATGTTTTTCACTTATCTTCTCCCGGTTCCAGGTTTCCTTGGAACCATCATGATTGCCAATGCTTCACAAAAGAGCTTGCTTTCAGTTCTTATTTTTGATCAAGATGTGTTTCAGTTTCCACATGAAACATCTGTCTGAAGGAAATAAAGGTCCCACTGCGATTTAAACTCAGGTCAGTGTGCTAACCATTATACCATGGACCCACACACATAGGAATCTGTTTTGATCTAATTGCCCCCCAGAAGGCTCGTTTTCTTCCAAATTATAGCTGTAAACATAATTCAGGACCCATGACAGGTATCAACCCAACTGTGACTCTAAATGGGATAAGCAGAACAAAATGGATGGATCATTCAGGTGCAATTTTAATCTTAACATTTACCATTAAAAAAATGTCTATCTTAATATTCATACCCCACTGGGGTTTGACTACTGGAATCAAAGTCCAGAGTGCTAAACATTACACCATGGAACCACACCCTGCAGGTAAGAATCTCATGTTGTTCTAAGAAAAGTCAGCGTGTTCTTCGAAATAACAATAAAGTGATACAAAGTGTCGATTATCTCTAGATTTACAAGATCATATAATATCTACCTTCTAATCTACTTCTCAAAGACAAATTATCGAATTGCTAGAATCAAAGGTGATAGGAACAATGGGGCGGAGTCAAAACATATTGTAGCCATTGTATGAATAAAGGCATAAACATTAGATGGATGGGGGGAAGTTGGGCAGTTACAGCCTCATTTAGCACTGTGTTTGTATGTGACATAGTGAGTGACATAGACCTCTCTGCATTGAATCATATCTGTTATTAACCTCTGTCTCTCTTCCACAGCATGTCTTTATCCTGTCTTCCTTCTCTCACCCCAACCGGTCGCAGCAGATGGCCCCACCCCTCCCTGTCTGCTGGAGGTTTCTTCCTGTAAAAAGGGAGTTTTTCCTTCCCACTGTCGCCAAAGTGCTTGCTCATAGGGGGTCATATGATTGTTGGGTTTTTCTCTGTATCTATGAAGCACCTTGAGGTGACTTTTGTTGTGATTTGGCGCTATATAAATAAAATTGAATTGAATTGAATTGAATTGAATTGGTATGTGCAGATACATTTCAAAACATGGAAAC